CGCACACTAAGGCCACGTAGTTGAACGCTCGGAAATGCCAACAAGTCTGCTGTGTCCAATCATCACCACCGCCACCACATCTATCCCGAAACCCCAAACCCTGATCCCTAAACCATAAAGCCACATCACCGCAACCCGCAAGCCAAACCTTGCACCCGGTTCCCCAACAGCCAAAAGCAACAAGAAGATGTCCAAGAAAAAGCGATGGCAAACACCGTTCCGTCCGGGGGTCCGGCTTGACTCTCCTCAGCAAGGCGCTTCCGGGTGACGTTTTTCGGCTTTCGGGATGTCTGCATGTAGGCTTTATGGGTCTGCAGTTCAGCGATGTCTGTGGTGTCAACTTGGACAATCCAGGCGAAGTCTGTGGTTTACAGTAAGGTTTCGGGTTGGGCATTTCGGGTTTTGGCCTCTCTGTGGTTATAGGGGTTTGTGTAGTCATAGCTAGGATATATTGTCAGGGAAGAAGCTATGACTCCAACCAGAATCACGACTCAAGACCCCTATCCCAAAAACTCCAGGAAAGCCTATCCCTCACCCTCTCTTCTCTATGTTGCTCGGGGCCTTTCTGCAATAGGGCCTCAGCTCAATCGAGAATCCCAAGCCCTCACTGAACAAGGCTCTGAAAACCTTCACAAACCAGAAAAAGCTGCAGAATCTACAACACGCCGTTTCCGTAAAGGAACCCTTGAATGAACCCCTGTAGAACCCGTTTACTTCTTATGCAGCCGCTAAGGGAACCCTCCGAGAAACCTTTGAGCCCATTATCACGCCCACAAATACAAGCCGAAAGTCGCGGAGGAAACGGAGGATACCGAGGATGCCGTAGATGTCGCTTTGGCCGTCGCCTCTTTCTTTCGAATTTTTTCGGGCTCAGAGAGGTGGAGGTTCAGGGTTTAGGATTAGATGGGCTTCATTCTTGTGTGCTTTAGGGGTTTAGGATTGCTGGCTTAGGGTTTCGGAATGAGTTGAGGGTGAATTTCCGGGTTCAGAGCTTTCAGTGGTATTTCTTGGCGGCTTGGGGATGAAGGGTCAATGGGCTTAGGCGGTTTGGGGTCCAAGGATTTGAGGGGATGCTTCTGCGCTTTGTTTGAGCTGCGGATGTCTCTGAGCTTTTGTTCAGCATTTTGGGTGGATCGGGCTAGATGCAAACGACCCCTACAAGCCCTATAGGTGTACTAGTGGCATAACCAGTCAAATAAAACTGATCACACTAATTATAGCAAAATCGACCTGGAAATAACAACACTAATAATAGTGGCACTACAAAACAGCAATAGACATCAATCCTTGCCCTGAACCTAAACTAGCCACCTGCCTGTAGAGTCGCTTGGGAGCTCGAGCGCCTGTTCCGTGGCAGCTCAGAGGGTTCCACTACGGTTGATGATACAAACCCTGCATTACCCATAATAAGGAATTTACCGTAATGCCCATAGTTTAGGGTCGTCAAGGTAATGCAGGATTTATATCATCAACAGTATGGCCTTAGAGTTTTGCTAGGGTTTCGGGTTTAGGGGTCAGAGCTTTCCTGCACGTTTACAATTTCGAGTCTTTGTTTCAGGGTTTGGAGCTTCATGTTTTTAGGGCCTGAGGCTCAGTGAACTTTTTGTTTCGCCTCGTGCTGGTTCAGTGGGGTCTAAGGTGTGGCGTTTGGTTAGGTTTTTGGGGGATAGGCTGTTGGTCATTTTGTCTTATATTCGGACAGCACGAAGCGAAGATTCAGGGTCATCGTAAGCCACACGCCCCGAAAATCAAATTGAACCCCACACCCTGGATGTCTTCAGCATTAGTCTTGTTGTAACCACTGCTACGCATGCGAGCCTCAACCCTGAACCCTAAACCAAAGCAAGGCGAGCCAAGGCCCGAACACGAAAACCCCCAAAACCGAAGACCGTTGCAACAACACACATCCATACTAAATCGCAACCTGCTAAAAAGGGATGGTCTTCATCTCGCCGAAATCCAACAAAGCCCTCATAGCTAGTTTAGGATTGCGACGTCTGCCACACTGAGATCACGTGATACCGGTTCGGGTAAGATGACCGCCGCTAGAGTTATAAGGGGTCGGAGATGACCCCGGGAACGTTCGTGATCCCTTGGAATCATCACAATTCTCATTGTGAAACTAAGGATGTGCCTCTGCCAAACCAACAGCAAAAGGTACCAGGCCTCAAGGTGCTATACCTATGAAAGTAACGTACTGATTAACAGATAAAACCGGGCCCCTAGACATCAATAAATCACCAAGGCGAGGAATGTGCTGATTAAGGTAAACTCCACGTCAGATCAAAATATTACTACTCGTGCAAGCATTCAAATTAAGCTGCGCCGATTCACTCAGGCGGTACTGCAACAGCATGTGTCCCACTTTATATGGCTTCGGCCCAGAAAGTTTGCGCAGCGCCAGCTTGGGCTCTTTCTTTATACGACCGTAGCCATCGAACCGGCAGAACGATGCACAAAGGGCGCGATGTGCTGGCTCGATTCCATAGCAGTCTTGCAGTTTGCAGTCATGCATATGTATTCGCAGTTCAAAAGCTGCTTTGGGGTCCATCTTGTTGAATTCCGAATTCATGTCACCTCCTGCAGTCTGGAGATCATCAACCCTCTCATATGGTCATGCAGTTCAACGATTGAAGATTTGACGTTGCCCCAGACATGTAAAGGAGACTAGTAGTCAGTTTGGACGTTGGGCCGCTGACCTAGTGTCCCGTATCCTCAAGTTTAGGGTTTACGGTATGGGCTAAACCAACAAACAAAAAAAGCGAAACCGGGCCTCAGCGAGGATCGCGGGGGAGGGCGAGTAGCCCAGCCTCGTTGTAAGGGGCTTTTTTAAGGCTTCCATGAGACTTCTAGTCTTTCAGGGGTCTCGCAGGGGATTATCTAAAGGCTCCCCAGAAAGGCCAATACTGCTTCATCAACTCAGACTATCGCTTGGAAGCTTGACGTTATTTGAAGCATAGTCTCTAAGGTGTGTGTGTGTGTGTGGTTTATAAAATCTCTGTGGGAGCGCAGGGTTTTAGATCTTGGCATTCGGGATTCAGTCATTTGAGGCTGTAGGGTGGGCTCTCGGGTTTCGGGTTCAAGGTTTTTGCAGGATTTTAAGGCTTTTGCTTCCAGCCTTTTGGAGCTGCGGCAGCATTTAAGAATGAAGGCTTTTGGTCTAGGAGTTCTGTGTTCGGTTTTAGGCTGCGGCATCTAAGCATTCATTCTACGCGAAGGGATCGCGGGCTTCAGGGCCAAGCGTTTCAGCGTTTAGGGATTTGGGTTTCGGGGTTCAGACTCTAGGCTTGAGCGCTTAGGGTGCTGGGCTTCGGGGGTTGGGGGCCCAAACAAAGACGCTTTTAACAACCTACGACCCCTGTAAAGCCTTTCCCAACATCTGTTCAACCCTTTAGGGAAGTCGGCCGTCATCGAGGGAAGGACCGAGGTTCCTGGCTAATGAACCTCTTTCCTGCAAGGGCCTTTGTACCCGTGCCCCACAGAAAGAGACCGGTGTTTTGGGTTTCGGCTCTCACTCTCGCACACAGCAGGCAAGGCTCCTCTGTTTTGGGTTTAGGGTTTAGGGTCTACCAGAGGTCTACATTCGGCACTCTTCCTGAACCATCAACCCGCCGTCTCAACAGGAAGCCGCGAAACCACTGACCCCAAAGCGCAAGCCCCGAAACCCGACTGTGAAGCCCTACGCCTCGAATTCTGGCACAAGCAACCCGGGACTTTAGGATTTAGGCTTGAATGGCTTCATGCTTTGTGTTGCCATGACACTCAAGCTTCAAGTCATATGATTGGCCTTGTGCTTGCCTTGTGTCACCGTTTAAAGAAATCACCCAGATTGAGGGTCTAGTGAACCGATTGTGTTTTGCAGGTACCCTTTCGTGCGATGGCCTAAACCATAAACCCTGAACCCGAATCGGGACTCGGCTTGTTGAGCATCTGCTTGAAGTCGGCCTCCGGAATCTCAGGGCCTGGGACCAAAACTTTGAGGGTTATAGTATATTATATACGGTTTAGGGTTTAGGGTTCAGGGTTCAGTATATTCATTATAGTATATTGTGGTATACTTTACTATAATTGTAGTGATTGAAGTCGGGGTTTAGGTTGCGGATTGGTGGGTCCGATCCTTGCCGGAGTTACGGTTTTTAGGGCTTCGGGTTTTTGGGTTTGGAAGGAGCTTTCAAGCTTTGGACGTTAGGACTGGGTGGAGGTAGATTTGGAGAAAGGCCGGCTGGGTTGCAGTAGGCCCCAGGAGTAGTGCAAGCTGGCGTCTGATGATGTGGATGTGCTCTGCGCCACAGAGCCGCGCACATTTTGGTTCCGCATCGTTTCCGTCTCCAAAAACCATGCTCCAACGGCTTCCCAGTCCAAAGCCCGTCACCTGCAACCCTGCCCTCAAGATCCCAGCTTCGGGATCCGAAACCCTGCGCTGCAGGCCAGTGGCCCGAGTTGGCATGCTGAAGCTTCGCCACCAGGATCTGGGAGGCGGACGTCTCCTCTGCACAACAATGCGTGAATAAAACTCAATGCGGTCGTAGTACTGGCATCGGTGCATCGCGGTAGCAGTAGCAGCAGTAGCAGCAGCAGGAGGAGGAGGAGTAGTAGTAGCAGTAGCAGTAAGTAGTAGTAGTAGTAGTAGTAGTAGTAGTAGTAGTAGTAGTAGTAGTAGTAATAGTAGTAGTAGTAGTAGTAGTAGTAGTCCTTAGTAGTAGCAGCAGCAGGAGGAGGAGGAGGTAGCAGGAGACATGCCGTCGTTCAGGCCGAAACTTCGAGTTTCGCTGGTCTGGGGCTCGCACTAGGCTCTTTATCTGCATAGTGTCTGAAGCTGGCTTGCACCAGACTCGGTCCATTTTAAACGAAACGCCACAAAAGATCGAGTCTCTTCCCGCCCTCCTCCTTGAACGAGGTCCGTGTCTTCTACGATCATGCTATTAACTATGTTCCTATGCTACCCAAGCGGCTCACTGAAACACTACGACGGCCCCGCTTGGGCGACTTACGATGCCCACTCACAGTTCGTCCAGCGGGCGTCTTGGCCCGGCAGCCTGCGGTAGCGGCTCCACCGCAGCACCGAAAGCACACTTCTCTCCATTATAGCTTTCGATGGACCAATAATTAAAGAACCTCTAACACCAGAGGGTGTGATGCATGATTCATGAAGAGTAATGCACTAGAGCAGCAGCAGCAGCAGCAGCAGCAGCAGCAGCAGCAGCAGCAGCGACAGCAGCAGCAGCAGCAGCGGCGGCGGCGGCGGCGGCGGCGGCGGCGGCAGCCGCGGGGGTGGCAGCACCAGCAGCAGAAGGAACGGTAGCGCAAGGGAAACGTGAACCGCAAAAGCAGAAGTAGAACCAGCAGCAGCAACAACCACCACAACCACCACCACCACCACCACCACAACCAGCAGCCACCATCGGCACCGCCCACTGGCCATCAGCACCCACAACGACAACGTCAGCGACGCCAACAGCAACAGAAACAGAAACAAGAACAAGGACAACCAACACCGCTGCCATGGTCGCCACCATAACAAACCCGCAACGTTCACGACAACAAGGAAAACAACGATGACGATGATCGTGGTAGCCGTTACAACGATGGCGGTGAAAATGCGAAGCTATTAATGATGGTGGTGGTGCTGCACGGCAGAGATGGTGATGAAGGTTTTGCGTGGCGATTGCGAAGAGGGTTCTGTGCACGGCGACTACAAAGATGATGCAGACGGTAGTGGGGCAGTGCAACTACACAGGACAAGCTGATATGGAAAATGTGAAGCTGCTGGTGTTAGTCTGTCTGAGCTTTGGAAAGGCCGGGTCGCTGTTTATGCTACCGCACACCTTAATACCCATGGGGTTTTGCCAGGCTTTTGCGGGTTTAGGGCTTCCCTGATTTGAGGGATGGGGGTGGGGTGGGGGGAATGACGTCCCCTTCACCACCGTCCCCATGAACATCAACATGCAGGCCATCATCATCATCGTGCTTCGACACACAACCTGGGAAGAACTAACAGTACCTTCACGTCATCAACATGCGCATCCTCATCATCACCATCATAATATTCGCTTTCCTGTATGCTCCGTTTCAATACTACGAAGGCAGCTGTTGACGGACCTTAGTCGGTTGGCAGACGCCAAGAACAAGAAGAAATTCATGAAACAGAGGCCGGCTGCACAATTCGCATTCGGAATGTTTCAAATGTCCCACTGGGGTCAGTGTTTTCGTGCTTCGACACACATATAACCCTGGCAACAAAAGTACTTTGAAAGGATCCAAAACAAGCCTTTTCGTTAAAAAAGTGCACACAACCCCACGTTTACCGCGTTTTTGCAAGTCTTACGCACCCATGGACCGCTCCAAAACCCCATGGTCATTCCATGAAACCTTACAAGAACCTGCAAGGCGCTTTTCTAGTGCACCAAAAAGCATACAAGATCTCTGCAAGAAACCTACTAGAAACACTGTGCTATCAAGGACTTGAACTAGCAACAAGCAAAGCAGATGCAAACAGCATTCCCTTTCTATTGATTCTATTGCTACTGAACTCAAGTCTAGCCAGACCATGACCTGCAGCATCCCCCTAGACCCTGAACCCTCGTTGTTCAGAAGCCTCATGCACTAAAACGCGCCCTGCCCCCTTATGGCAACAAGCTTTCCACCTCGCCCGGTAAACAAGCCCTAACCCTCAACCCTCAACCCAAAACCCTAAACCCTAAGCCCTCAACCCTAAACCCTCAACTCCAAACCCTCAACCTAAACCCAAAACCCTAAGCCCTAAACTCCAAACCCTCAACCTAAACCCAAAACCCTAAGCCCTAAACTCTAAACCCTCAACCTAAACCCAAAACCCTAAGCCCCTAAACCCGAAGCAAAAGGATTTCAGAGCCCTTGGCGTAGAAATCTTCGCCTCGAGAGCTCGAAGCAGCTCGGCGGTGCAAGCGGCCGGATGCTTCAACTGCGCCTGGGTTTTTAAAAATAGCCTTTTTTCCGTTTAGGGTTTAGGGTTTATAAGGTTTAGGGTTTGGGGTTTAGGGCTTTAAAATAGCCTTATTTTGCCCCCTTAAGGTTAGAGGGTTTAGGGTTTTAATCGCTAGGGTTTCAAATAGCCTTAGGGCTTCAGGCTTTGGGGTTGAATGGTTGTTTTGGGTCTTAGGGCTTGGGGTTTAGGGTTTTTGGCTGTTAGGGTGTAGGTAAGGTCTTTAGAAGGTGTGACAAGATTATGATGTTCGCACTCAGTCCTGATATGCTTGTCCAGTGATCTTCAGATACGCAGGCCGATTTTTAAGCACGTCCTCTCGTGGCCGCTCACAGAAATGTCCATGCTACTGGATGTTTAGACCCTATCCCCAAACCCCGAGTTCTTGCTTTTTCGACCCCACAGCATCCCAAAACCCCGAGTTCTTGCTTGAAAAACTCCCCGTTTCCTTCCTGGCCTGGGCGGCTCGGGCTTTCAAGGTATGGGCTGTCCCCCATGTGGGAAACTAAGAGGACCCCTGCATCCTTTTTTTGAGCAGGGACTGCAATGCACTAAGCGCAGGGGTCCTAAAACATCAGTCTGAGCAAGAAACACTCACGCTCATACTGACGTGATATAATTATAACACTGGCCCACCCACGTAACATGCACCGGAGCGTCGAACAACTCGCCATGGGATGACAGGGTTCCTCTCCAGCTCAGGTTACCACACCCAAAACCCTGAACCCAAAGCTCTGCTCTCATTTACAGTGATCTAAAACACAACGGTGGAAGACTGGTGGGCTATGAGGCGGACGTGGTGTATCGGCTTCTGAACTATCGATTCCGGGCACCTCGTAAGTGCAGCGGCTGGGTTCAGACACGTCCAACAGCTCCTCCTGCTCAGAAAGGCTGGGAGGGTGTAACACAGGGGTCTTAATGACTAGAATAGGGGTTCGGGATACATCAGAGTATGATTAGACGAAGGAACCACAAAGAAAAAATGCCATTATTCAGGCTTCTACACCTAACGAAGGTCACTGAAAACCCCAAAACCCCAGCTAAACTGCTACAAAAAAAACCCTCATCACTTGCTAGACCTTCACCCCTGAAACCCACGCCCCATAGGCCCTAAGACCCACGAACCCGCAAGCTGCCCCGAACTGCAGATGAGACAAACCTCTCTCAAACAGGGGCCTTCATAATTAGAATAGGGTTGTGGGGCCCATTATACTATACTTATGAGAAGGAGCCCCCCAAAATAAACCCTAAACCCTAAACCCTAAACTAGTCTTGGTAATTATTAGGACCCACTCCAGCAGCTGGCGGATTTGGGGACGTCAATCGGCCCGGGAGCTTCCAGACGGACTAACATTATACTTTTAGGGTGCTCCGTGATAAAGGGTTTAGGGTTTAGGGTTTAGGGTTTAAGGTTTAGGGTGTGCGGGTCCAAAAAGAAGATTCCAGGCACTTCTGGTGTCAACGGGGCTCGGGGAGTTGAGTGTGGCAGGCGCCTTCGAGCCACACTGGAACTTCACTTTCAGGCTCCGCTCCTTAGGAAGCGACGTTGACGCTTGTTTCCGGCAGTGGGAATGATGATTCCTGATGCCCCAAAGACCGCAAACCCGAATCTCCAAACCCCGAAGCCGTGAAAGCCCCAGCCCCAGACCCAAAAGCCTTAGCAATGTTGGGCCCTTCATAATTAAGTAGAATCGGGCTTTGGGCTTTGTGGCGTTTAAGTATAGTATTGGTAATTCTTCAGTGCCCCTAACCCTAAGCCCCTAAGCCCCAAAAAATGTCTCAACCACAAACCTCGACTTCAAGAAGAGGCCTCCGAGCCTCCTTGGAGATCCTTTTTAGGCTCCTAGAAAGAGGAGACTTATGAATCATGGTCCAAATCCTACTTATAACCCTACTACTCAGCACCCTGATCCTGCTAAGCGCCCACATGGACCCTATCAGAACCTTGTGAGATCATTGCACAACCCCAGTTTGGCAACTGACTAAGTCCCCTGACCCTGTCAAGGTCGCCAAGCATCCGGGCCGCCAGGACCTCGGTGATCATAGTAGGTTGTGTTATATTGTGTTCTGATGTAGTCTATGCTATTATGCTATATTGTCTTCTCTCTCTCTCTCACAGGACTCCGTCACCTGTCATCCGCGACGCGAGACACAGCGATTTCGCTATGTGCGTGCATCTACAATGATATATTGTCTTGTATTGTACTATAATATGATGAGATATTATATTGTAGCATCTTCTCTCGTATCATATTCTGTCATACTATACTACATTAAACTATACCAGGTACTAGTTGATATCATATTACATTCGACTACATTCTACACCCCTGCAGCTCCTCCAGTCTCAAAACCCAGCCCATCGGCCCCCCAAACCCTAAACCCTACATCCTAAACCCGAAACCCCAAACCCTACACCCTAAACCCTAAACCCCAAACCCCACACCCTAAAACCTAAGCCCCAAAGCCTAAACTGGGCCTAAACCCTAAGCCGAAGCGCAGTACTGCCCGGCATCGAAGGTGGCCAGCCCGGGCGCCTCCCAGCCCTTCCATCTGCCAACGGAGGTGCTATCCTCTGCGGTGGGATTTAGGGTTTAGAGTTTTTGTTTGAGGGTTTAGGGTGGCCTTTTTTTTTAAAGGGTTTAGGGTTTAGGGCTGAGGGTTGAAAAAGTGGTTGGGGGTCCTGCTTTAGGGTTTATCATGGTTCTATAGGGTCTTTTAAGCCGCTGTGGGCTTATAGGGTCTATGTTGGGCTTCGTCCAGATTTATAGATTTGGGCTTTGGAGAGATTTTTAGATACCAGTAGGGTGTAAAAGGGCGTTTGCGGGGCACCGCTCGCGGAGTCCTTTTTGAATGAGCGGCACCAAGACCCAAACATACCCAAACATCCCTATGCCCAAATCCCGAACATGTCCCTAGAACGTGTTGTAGGGTTTCGGGAAGCGCGTCAGATTTCTAGAGTGCAACTATCAACCTCAAAGGCCCCAAGCCGCCAGGGCATTTTGGGTTTCGGGTTTGAGGTTTCGGATTTCGTTATTTGTAGGGTTTGGGGTTTAGGGTCTTGTGTTTTTTGCCTCCTGCATGTCTGAGCGAGTCGGGAAGCAGGGTTATAGCGGCATACCGGTAACTTCATCCAACCATTCAACCATTATGGAAAGGATCAAGTTGCCCCCAGTTTCGGGCCCCGGTTAGGCGAACCGGATGCATCAGTCTTGACTGCAGTTGAAGCAAGCTTACGAAGTTGGCAAAATGCCACATGTCACACACACACACACGCTGTGTCATCACTTTCAAGGACAAGTCAGCCTCTCTTGCATCCTCAACACTACGCATTAGCGTTCAACATTGCTTAGGGTTTGCTTGTTTGTTCAGGGCTCTGGCTCAGGGCTTTTTTGCCTCCTGCACTGGCCGAGGATTTAGGGTTTACTTGGAGGGTGATAAGTAGGGAAACTATAATCATAACCCATATGAGGGTTTCGACTCTCACACTCGCACAAGGCTGGCAAGGCTCCGCATAGTTTAGGGTTTAGGGTTTAGGGTAATCATAACCCATATTAGGGCACTTATAACCATACCTACACCGACCCATGAACCTCCAAGTAGGGAGCTCTTTGCCCGGAACCCCACACCGGTGAAGGGCAGCCTGCTTGGCATCGTCGAAGAAGCCTAGGGCTCCCCCAAGGACTCGCTGAGCTTAACGGAGAACACAGAAAGTGGGCTTAACAGTTAGAGTTTAGGGCTCCTTTCAGAGTTCCTTTACCAGTTACTATCAGGGTTCTATTATAGAGGTGCCCTAAGAATTGGAACATGGTTATCGTGTAGTTATATGGTCATTATACATGCGAAACCTAGGGAATAATACTATTTAGGGCCCGATAGTAACGGCTTCAGGGGCTAAGGGCTTTGGGCTTTAGTCCACTTCGATGACAAAGGCATCGCTGGAAGGATCCGGGTTGATGAGCCTCTACACAAAGCCAAAATCCTTGAAGCCTAAACCCTTCGGCCTGCAAATTCAATCCTGCGCAGCGCTGAATACATCCGTCCCGACCGCAGCACCCGGGATTTGAACAGGATTTGACCTCCAAGCACTTGTCCGAAATTAGCAACTCCACGTTTCGAGTCCTGAAACCCTACACCCCAAAAAAACGAGGCTGGCACAGATCTTGTACTTGTACTCGCCGATGCTCTTCTCAATGCAGCGGCCGTCCAGCCCAGAGTATGGCAGCTCCCATTCCTCCGTGGTGGATTTCAGCTTCTTCTCCTTGGCTACCACACGTGACATGATCGGATCCTCAAATCCGAAAGTAAAGGACCTCTGACTCTAAACAGCCATCACAATATCAAAGGGTAAGGGTAAGTAACAACCGAGGATAGCCTCCAATGGAGCAGAGCAACCACCATCCGCCTAGATGATATGTGTGGGCTGTTTTGATTGGGGCTCAGGCATCTAGCTTTGTCGAAGTCCACTGTAACACAGAGACAGTACTGTGCGGGGATCCGGGCGTCACAGTAGTCAGACCTGCAGAAGCACCAGACACATGTCCGATGCAACGACAGGACGGTGTAGGCGGAGCGGCTCCGCTGGTTTTGAGGCAGGCTTCCGCTCTTGGGGCGTAGGGTCATGGGCCCAGGGTTTCGGGTTTTGAACGAACCCGGATGACACATACACGAACACCGCGGGCTCAGCTCAAAAAACAACACGAAAACCATGCCCTTGACCCCTGGAACTCTTTGCATTGGGCGCCAGGTAGTGAGCTGTCCCTAAACACTTCTTACCACTGTGCTCAAGTTTAGCCAGACCTTCCACCCCTCTTTCCTTTGCATCTTCTCTTGCATACCGGACGCTTCAAGAAGAATCAGACAAGCGCCCATTCGCAACTCGCAAGCTGAGCGAGGAACCCTGATCCCCGAACCTCAAAAGCTTTCGGAGGCGTGCGGCCAGCTCTTCCACGCGCACGCGAGCCGTTTTCAGCTCCTTCTGGGCGGCCTCCTGCCGGTTCTCGGCCTGGCAGGTAGAGCTTTCGTCAGGCGAAGCGTTTGGGGCTTCTGGTGGGGCTTAGGATCTACCTGTTTTTGAGGCTTAGAGTTTAGGGCGGAACAATTTCGGGTTTAACCTTGAGGGTTAAGGGATTTGGGGTCTACGGGGCGGCGGTGTAGCCGTTTTTGGTCGGGCCCTTTCTTCGTCTGAATGAAGGGACTGTCGGGCTTCCGGGCTTTAATGGCGATGATTCAATTGCTTAACGGGTTTAGAGTTTAGGGCTTAGGGGCACCATGGTTATATCGCTGAGTGCACCAGGGTTCAGATTCAAGACGCAACCTTGAATGATAGAAGGGGATCCCTAACATACTTTGGGGTATCCTCTGCCCTGGCGAAGATGAGAGAACTCTTGTAGCAACCCTTCTAGATCCCTGAAAGCAAACTTCAAAGGAACCCGGTTAACTCAAACCTCATTGTGAAACCCTAAACCCTAAACCGGCACCCGGGAGGGCTTTCAGCCGAGAAGATGCGTCTTGCCTTGTCCAGGGCGCGTTCGGCGGGACTCCGGCTGCCGAAGGCCCAGTTCCTTGTGTTCAGGGTGTAGGATTCAGGGTTCCGGATTTAGGGTTTAGGGTTTAGGGTTTAGGGTTTAGGATTTAGGGCTTACTTGGAGGTTCATGGGTAGTTATAAGTAGGCTTATAAGTAGGCTTCTAAGTAGGGTAACTATAGTTATAGCCCATATTAGGGGACTTATAACTCCATTTTTAACTACCTTAGGGTTTAGGAGTTTAGGAGGGCTTAGGGCTTCTGGGGCAGCGCACATAGCTGCTCGCCCAAGCTTAGGGCGAAAGCTTAAGGCTTACTTACGGTCTTTTTTGCATTGAGGGTTCGGGTGTTTGAAAGGTTTTCGGCACTCATGCCTCAGGGGCTGTTAGGATGTTGACACTCAATCTCGAACTTTTAGGGTCTGGGGCCGGGTTGTGGTGCTTCGGATAAAAGGTGAAACAAACAGGCGAAGGTCGGATGTTCCAGAGAATAGTAATAATAATATTAATAGTACAAAACAATAATAACAATAATAATAATAATAGTGATAATAATAATAATAATAATTCCTGCAAGGTCGGAGTAATAAAGACCACTAATGTAGGGGCCTTAATAGTTAGAATGGGGTTTCGGGGCCCATTATGCTATAATTATAATAAGGAGACCCCAAAATAGTATAGGCAACTAATTATTTAGGCCCCTGCATTACATTCGGAACCCCGGAGTTGTAAGAAACCCTTCTCCCAGGCAAAACTGCGAACCCTGCTGTCTGCATCAACCCTGTGTCCCCTGAAACCATTCCCTTGGCAAGATAGGGCCCTTAAGATCCTCTTATCCTGCATGAGGAAAAGTGCCCTGAACCACATCTCAACAATACCACAAGCAGCACACGAAAACATCCACATCCCCAGCTTCATCAGCCCCTTCCTCCTCCTCCTCCCCACGCTTCCTTCTCATCATCATCATCATCATCAGCAGCGTCAATCAGCATGGTCATGCTCATCCCGAATCGTCATGCTTGTCGCTATGACTCTGGTCTCCGACGAGGCTCCGGAAGTTCTGCCATTTCTCGCCCCATTTCCTTTTCACCTGCTCCCAGAACCCCGAGCCAGCGCTGCGGGACGCCGAGGGCGACGGAGAGCTCCTGACGAGCCGAGGGGGGTCCCAAAAAGGCCTGTGTCCTTTCGAGCTTCTCGAACCTAGGACATACAGCTTGAACCGTTTATGTAAAGCTTCAGGAGTCCTATGGTTCCGCAGATCATTCGGAGCTTCCGGGTACAGTTTAGGATTCACTTGAATCGAAACTTCTCATGGTCCAAGTTGCTGCGCTTGCGATTTACGACTTTGGCGCCGACTCTACCAAACGAAGATGTATGCTCGCAATCAGCAAAACCACCACCACACACATGGACATCCCCCTCTAAGGCACTCAAAGAGCAAACTGCCATCGGAAGACTAAAGAAACCACAAGTGCTGGTGACAGTATGGGGTGAAGCTTTACAAGATCTCCGGCCGGGGGACGCTGGGCTCGCCGGCTCGTTGTCGTCATCCGGGAAGTCAGGTGCATCCTTCCGAGGAAACAGCGGCAAAACCTTCATCCTTAAACTCTATGCCCTCAAACCTTTTTTACACAGGCTTGATTAGAGCTCGCCCGGCCAGATTCCCCGCAGCACGTCGCATTCGTTGCGAGATGCTCAAGGCTGAGTATGCACCACCTTCACTCTCTTACGACCTAACCGGTCGGATACGCTGTTGAAGGAGGTGATAAACTGATGTGGTTACAGATCGACTCATGAAGCCCTAAGCCCTAAACCCTAGCCTGAAACTTCAGACCCTAAACCCGACGAGGTGTGGAGAGCCCGCCATCAAAGTGCTGGGAGGAGCAAGTCGAACAAAGTGGCCTACATCCTTCTGCCAGCCCAGATGGGGGTTTCCGAAAATAAGGGACCCTAATATAGTACCCCAAATAATAGGATCCTTATTATAAGGACCCCGAAATAAGGTACCCCTAATTTCGGAAACTGCCAGATCGAAAGAACAAATGCACAAAGATCGCAAACTCCCAAACCACTCGGGGGAGCGCCAATTCCACTCTCGCGAGGGCACGGTTTGGGAAGTTTCAGAGCACCAGTGAATGCCCTGTGTTTTATCATGACTGGAGGGATGAGAGGCGAGTCAGCCGCAAGAGTCGGGAACAAGCCGGGGACAGTCGGGAACAGAGAGGGGGCAGGAGCCAGGAATAGCCGGAGGCAGCGTCAGGAGCGTCGGCGGGACAGTCAGGAACAAAGCAGGGACTGATTCCGGAACAGAGTAAATGTAATGCTTACAAACCAAAGGTTACATCTAAGTAATGCTTACAAAGAAAAGACAACGACGCGCTGAGTAGCACGCATGCACGCACCGCCACTGTTTTGCTGCAACGTAGCGGGCCGGCTGGTGCACTATCTGAAAACCAGACACTTCCTCAGAGAACTTCCGGCACTCCCCCACGGCTTAGATGATACCAGAATCGCCAAGTGAGGGGGCGTGCTTAAGATATACGATGAATCGGAATCGCCAAATGGGGAGTGTGTTTAAGATAGATTAAGATTTAAGATGAACCGATATCGCCAAATGAGGAGGCGCGAATCGCCAAGTGAGGGGGCGTGTTTAAGGTATACGATGAACCGATATCGCCGAAGGGGCATGTTTAACATATAATTTGAACAGGAATCGCCAAACCGGGTGCCTGTTCAAGATAGATGATACCGGAGTCGCCAAGCGAGGGGGCGTGTTTAAGATATATGATGAACCGGAATCGCCAAATGGAGGGCGCGTTTAAGATAGATGATACCGGAATCGCCAAATGAGGGGGGTGTGTTCAAGGCAGATGATGCCGGAATCGCCAAGCGAGGGGGCGTGTTTAAGATATATGATGAACCGGAATCGCCACATGGTGGGCGTGTTTAAAATACAGTTTTGGCACTGGCGCTCGACGAGGTCAGGCGAGGATCCCAGGAGACAACATGTTTAAAATACATAGATGATACCGGAATCGCCAAATATGATGGCGGGCGTGTTTCAGATACACGACGAACCGGAATAGCCAAATCAGGGGGCGTGTGTACGGTAGATGATACCGGACTCGCCAAGTGAAGGGGCGTGTTTAGGATATACGATGAACCGATATCGCCGAATGGGGCGTATGTTTGAGATCGATGATACCGGAATCGCCGAGTGAGAGGGCGTGGGTCTCTGTTCTAATGTGGGGTGTGTGCCGACTTCTGTTCCCGACTCTGCGCGTTCCTGTTCCTGACCCTGTGCGGCTTGGTTCTAGACTAGTCTCCGGTCTTTTCTGAACTATTCTGTTCCTGACTCGAAAAGCATGCGGCGAACTCGACCAACATCCACTGGGACTTAGTAAGTAAGGTTATACGTACCGTATGTTGGAGTTCTAAGCAGCTAGAGTCATAGTTACCTTCCACATAACATCGGGTCCGTCCTTGAGCACCTCGTCGAAGTCGTCGGCCTGGCGACTCTGGAGCTTTTGGTCCAACGTTTAGGGTGTAGGATTTAAGATTAGGGTTTAGACTCTAGGGATCAGCACTCATAAGTGGTGATTTAGGGTTTAGACTCTAGGGTTCAGCACTCATACCTGATGAGTGGTAATTTAGGGTTTAGGGCCAGAACTGGCAGAAAAAAGCCGCTTCGGCTGAGTGGGTTTTCGTAACGCATCAGGAAACTCAAGCCTGACGAAGGCCGCACTAAGCCGGCGCACTGCACTTCGGACATGGAGGGTGCTGCTATGTAGAACAAGGTTTCGGAGTATACTATACTAACACCCAAGTATTAATTGCCAGGAACTCTTCATGAATCGCACTTTACTTCCATTCAAACCCTATATCAGACTCCAAACTCAGCAGCTGCTGATCTCTTCTACGTGGTCAATCCGCCGACTCATCGTGCGTGCAGCATGCCCAACTTTATCGTTGAGGCACTAAGGCTTCAGGATTTGGGTAGTTCTGTACACTGGTGTGCCTTCTAGGGTCCGTAGCATCAGGGTGCCGCACTATTTTGGGGACCGAAAACGGGGCCTAATTTACAAAACTACACATTTCCCCCACCCGCCCAGCTGACATTGTCGCACCCGGGAATTGTGGGACATCTAGGGTTCAGCGACTGCTGCGGGCGTCAGAGTTGGACTTGGCCTGTTGCCGTGGAGTCTTCAGGGTTGAGGTTTACGGTTTGAGCTTTTTTCTCACCCGCCCAGCTGACCATGTCGGTGCCGTTTCGAGCCTAGGATTTCGGGTTGCGCAAGGGCCCCAGAGCTCTTTATGAACGTCCCAAACGCAGCGGAGAAAAGGAGGATGCACCTCAGCCAGCACCTTCTCCGCACCATCCATCCACTTGCCTTAGTGTAGGGCTCAGAATATGCTAGGGCTTAGGGTCTATACCACTTAGCGTGTCGGGTTTAAGGTTTCGGGATCAGAATGCTAGGGCTTAGGGTCTACACCACTTAGCGTGTCGGGTTTAAGGTTTCGGGTTCAGAATGCTGGGGTGCAGGGCTTATACCAGGGCTCAGGGTCGGGAAGTTGAGTTGCGGTTTATCCCAACTAAAAGCTCCCACACGCCCCAACCGAACCCCCCAACTCGACAAACCCGGAATCCTCAAGAAACGGCGCGGGAGTGCTATACATCAAAAGCTCAGCCGAAGCCATAAGCCATCACCGAACCTAGGTAACCTAAACCCTAAACCCTAAACCCCTAAATCCTAAACCCTAAACCCCTAAAGATGTTGCATCCTGAACCTGACAACGGATGCAAGGCGGCTGTACTCGGAGATGTCCGGCTTCGCCTCCGATGCCTCCTTAGCTTGCCAGGCTCTACCTTCTTATCATTACTCTTCATGACTAGTTAGGTCACTACTACCATGACTATTTATGTATTGGCATTAATAGTCTCACTCCTGGTCAGGAAGTCGTGAAACTGTTGATGGACAAAATTGTGCATGACCCAAATATAGTATAGTACCATAAATCCCATAGTTTAGGTATATAAGGTCATGCAGGATTTTGTCCATCAGCCGTAAGCCCCCTATGAAGCGAGCGCCCCGTAACCCGGAATCACGCATCTTGCTGCAGCTGCTTAGGCTGGCGTAGAGCTCCGGGGAGGGCCCCAAGTCTGGGGGCTTAGGGGTTTCGGGTTCAGGGTTTAGGGTGTACTTCCATATACTGGAACCTACTTGTTTCTAGGGTCCCTACAATGTCATATTAGAGTTTGAAAAATAAGAACCTACAGAAAAACTTGGGTTTGGTAGGTTCAGGTGCGGCTTTGGACACAAAAAAACTCACGTGCAACAACGTCAGCATCAGCCCTTTCCCTGCCGGAAATATGCTATTCCAAAGAAGACCCGGTCCGTTCCTCAGACAGGTTCTGAGGCTTTGCTACACTGACATCGGCAACCCTCAACCCTAAACCCTAAACCGACATCGGAAACTTTTTTTCGAGTAGGGCCCGGGACAAACCTCAACCTGAATTCTCGAGGTGCGCCCAAGCTTCCTCAAGCACCTTCTCGGCACCATCCATCCACTTGCCTTGGGGTGTAGGATATGGTAGGGCGTAGGTTTATACCACTTTTTTTCAGGGCTTAAGATTTGGGTTTTTCCTCTCCTACTCCGCACTTGCCTTGGGTGCAGGGTTTAGGGTTGAAGGTTTGGGGCGCAGAAAGCCGACAGGAAACCCCAAGAGCCACTATACCGTAAAGTAAAATAAGTTCTATTGAGGATCCCTATGGTTTCAGGTGAAATTTGAGGATCCCTATGGTTTCAGGTGAAATCCCTAGCTCAGTGACTAGGTGCTTTAGAAACCAGAATCGGGATCCCTCTCGACTTTGTGAATTGAGTGCTTTCGGCTCTCTAGGCTCTCGGAACTCAGAACAGGAACTCCAAGGACAAGCAGGCTGCCGCAAGCGACTCGAGAAGCGGAAATTGAATCAGAATGCTGGTTCAGGGTTTCGGCGCAACCCTAAACCCTAAACCCTAAACCCTAAACCGTGGCGAGGCATAAGGTTCAGGGTTTTTGGTTTCCGGCGTCCCATCCCAGCTCTGCCGCGCAGAGGCACTGTATTCGGACACGACCGGCTTGGCCTCAGCTTCCTTCGCAGCCTGCAAGGGCTGGGGCATGGCTTGCTTTGCTGCTGGTGCTTTTTTGGGCTTCAAGGTTAATGTCGGGTCTCGAGCTTCGGGTTTGTGATGTCTGAAGAGCCCCTAGGCATCGAGAGCCCCTAGGCTGGATGCTCACCAGCTAAAAGCGCGAAAAGTAGGGGAAAAGGGCCTCCCAAGCCAATCCAACAGGCCCATGCAGCGAGAAACCGTCCTCTCGACATGTCCAAAACCATTCTGTCCTCTAGATTCTCGAAACCCCAAGCCCCCACTGGACATCCCAAGAAGCCCCAAATGAAATCCCACACAAGAGGCCTCCGCTAGAAATCCCAAGAAGCCCTTTTTTGAACCCAGGCTCTGCTCATCAGCTGGGAAGTCGGCCCCAAGAAGCCCTAAACCCCAAACCCTAAACCCCCAAAGAAGTCCCAAGAAGCCCTAAACCCTAAACCCCCACTGAAATCCCAAGAAGCCCTAAACCCCAAACCCTAAACCTCCAAAGAAATCCCAAGAAGCCTTAAACCCCAAACCCTAAACCCCCACTGAAATCCCAAGAAGCCCTAAACCCCAAACCCTAAACCTCCAAAGAAATCCCAAGAAGCCCTAAACCCCAAACCCTAAACCTCCCAAGAACCCTTAAACCCCAAACCCTAAACCTCCAAAGAAATCCCAAGAAGCCTTAAACCCCAAACCCTAAACCCCCACCGAAATCCCAAGAAACCCCCAGGAGAGCTGGGGGGGCCGGCCTCTTTGGCCTCGGCCTCTGTGGCTTTCACCTGGGACTCGAAGGCCTCCTCGCAGGAAAAGGAGAAGGAAGCGGCTTCTATGGTAGTGTGCCGTTTTTGAGGGGTTAGGGTGTTTTTGGTGTAGGGTTTAGGATTTATTGTAGCGTGCTGTTTTTGAGGGGTTAGGGTTTAGAAGGGTTCAGGGTTGGGAGTTTGGGGTTTAGGGTTCAGGGTTTAGGGTTTAGGGTTTCAGCGCTCACTCTCGGACATGCCTAGGCGAGGTTCCTGGTACGAGGCGAGAGCACATTGGCCGTGGGAACGGCACTTATCACCGTCCCTGTGACATTAGCTGTTACTACTCCCTAGATCACAGCTTTACAGGCACTCCAAGGTCTAGACATCGGCTGCTCACCTCACAGGGTGTAGGGGAAGAGGGTTCCAGAAGCGTTTCTCGTGTTTTATGGGCTCTCTCTTTTCTTCCTTGGCTCCGGTCTTTAGGGTTTGGGTGGGGCTTCGGGTCTTGGGTTCATTCAGAGTTTGGAGTTCAGGATCCCACAAGAATTCCATAAAAAAATGTGGGAAAAGGCTTTATCAGGTCTCATCTTTGTCAGGGCACCGTGGGGTTTATGGCTTAAGAATCGCGGATGGGGTATAGGGGCTTATTGAAATCACAGACCAGCACTGGGCTACCTAAAACGGTGTCGCTTCTCGGGCATTGACGATTCGAGATGTTTAGGGAAAACGCTCAATGCAGAATCTTCGGGAGGAGCCATTGGCGTCTCTCAGGGTACTGCAACCCGGCATTAGTTTCAACCCTTATGGTGTCCCATGTAGACCCGTTTAGAGAACCTTTTGGCAACCCGTGTGCTACCTCGTGCGACGACTTTGAGGATGCTGTAGGGGCCTTAATACTGGGGGCCCTATAGTATAATTACAATGAGAACCCCCCCAAAAAAAAAATATTGTAATTATTGAGGCCCCTATATGACTTACCTGATCATATTGTGCCCCGGCGCTCCTGCACCTCGTCTGCCGGAGAAGGGCCTGCCGAGGCGTTGTCCTGTGAGTCCTGTGTCCTGGATCCCATAGCCCAAACCCGGAAGGGTTCGGTTTAGGGTTTAGGGTTTCAGCACTCACATTAGGGGTTTGGGTGGTGGTTTAGGGTTTCAGCACTCACATTAGGGTTTAGGGTTTAGGGCCTAGGGGTTGCTACGTGCAAGGGTTTTCCATCGGTGCCTGAAGAATTCGGAATCTGGCTTGGGATATGACCGAGCTTCCAGTTCGGGGCCCGTTATGCTGCGTGCTCGCGTGGCCATTCGGGAAGGAACCTACGGCTATCAGCGTGTGCCATTGATTCGTCGAACAAAGCTTTGGCTGCTGTTGGGTTCTTTTTCAGGCTTTGGTCCATTGGTGATCCAGTTGTCACGTGTATGGTGTGGGGGTGTAGCCTTTAGGGTCAGCCATCCGTGCCGCACGACATGACTTCAGAAGGCGAAACGAAACCTGCCGCTCTCGTAGCCCTCCCCCACAAGAAGCAAGTGACTACCCACACAACACCCAGGCCGTAAGCGATGTCAACGTACATATGCGAAAATGTTATACCCAGCTTCTTTGTGAACCCAACCGAATACAAGGAAGACTCCTCGAAATGCCTGAACCCTCCTGAACGCAAGAACTTTCATGAACTTTCATCTCAGCAAACGCATCCAAACAAAAAACTCGCACTCGCCATGCCCCAAGAAACTTCAACCCGATCAACCTGCAGCTTCGCGTGTTGTGACATACATTTTTCAAGTACCTTTCGTGCTTTCTTAGGTCTGCAACTTCATGTTTCTGGATTCCTACATTATCATAACCCCAAACAAAGCCCTCTAAATTTTCAGAAAACAACCTGTCTGCAGCGTTCCCCTTTGAATCCTTGGTGTTTAGTGATGTTTGAGGTTTAGGGATCTTTGGGATCGCCTTCTCCAAAGAATACTGATCCCTTAGGGTTCCTCATCAGGTGTGGACTACATCCTAGCTTTTCCAATCAATAAGGCCTCTCTCTCTCACACGGACTCGAGTCGAGCATGCCGCGATGAAGTCATGTCGTTATTCGACATGACGAACCTCCCAAGCCTAAAGCCTCTGCACACGATAAACCCAGGAAGGTGGAACTTGCTCAAACAAAAGAATTGGGAGCTGCGACAACACCCTGCCCCGCATCGACGCCAACAAAGGCGGTAAGAAGGATGCATCAGAAGCAGCATGAAGCATCATTGCAAATGGCACATTACGAGTAGCAGCAGCAATCAATAAGGCCTCTATCTTGCAGAACCCTTTTAGCAACCCTTATGGATCCTTTTACGAAAGGAACCCTGATCCAATTATCAGGGCCCCTTTCTCGTCCCAGTGGCGCGTTCGCCGCGCTCTGCGCTGCGGCCTCTGCCGCCACGGCGCGCTTCGCGTCGTCGAGTTGAGCCGTTGCCTCCTCGGAGGGCGTTTGATAGGGGTTATTGAGTTTTCAATCGGTGTTTGAGAGCTTTTTTATGATGGTGTTCATTGTAGGAAGGTTTGAACGGCTGCCTACGGATTAGGATTTGTTTACAAGGCTTTGCAAGGGTTTGCACAGTTTTGGCACTTGGTATACTGCTCGATTTGAGAGCATGGCTTTGGGTTATTGGTTGGTGCCTGTTGAAAAGTTTATCGATACAGTGCTTTACTTCAGGGCTTTGCAATTTTTTGAGGCTGTAAAGGGGCTCTTACGTTAGTGGTTTTGATCGGATTTCATGACCCCTCAACGGGTGCAGGCTTTGATCATTTTGAGCCAGTAGGGTTGGGGTTCTAAGTCCGACAACTCCAACTCAAAAACTCAAAACCTGACTTCTGGTTCTTCAAGGAAGGCTTATAGGCTTGAGGTTCTGGCATTTCAGCTGTCACAAAATTCCTAAGGGTAAAACCGGCCCTCTCAACCCCTTCCTAAAAGCAAAAAAAACTGTAAACACCAAAAGTAGAAAGCCTGCGCACAGAGGGTCGGTCCTGCACTGCACCTTCCAGCTCTGGGAGCTGCGCCTCTCAAGCTGGGTTTGGGGTTTCGTTAGCGGTTCGAGTTTAGGTAGTTACTGGTTGCTTATTGGTTTAGGTCTGACGCTTTTGGGGTCAGGGATTGGGACTTCAGATGCAAAGCATAAGCTGCCTTTCGCATGCATGTGGAGCCCACTTGAGCTTGTGGGGCGATGTATGAAAGAGGTTCAATGTGTCAAAGAAAGACCTAGGAAGATTTTTAAGATCTTCCCGGACGTGCGAACGAAGGAAAGTTCCTTCATGCCATGTTCTGGGCATCCGTTTTGTCACTTGTGCCAGTCTTGGCTCACCTTACCAGAACCCCTACATAAGGTACGCCTTGGTGAAGGACCTTAAATATTGAAGTTGGGGTTTAGGATTTAAATATAACGATATATAGAGACGTTAGTCCTAATTGTGCAGGCCTCCTTTTTGAACAAGCCCCCTGAAAACCCAAAAACACCCGCAAACCCAACACTTTGTTGAACGATTGCCTGTTCAATCTTTCATTCACCAATCGTTCTTCATGCCTGCCATTCCCTTCGAGTCCTGCATTCCTGCATTCATTCCTTCATTCGTTCATTCCTTCATTCAGTCCTTCCATTTCTTCCACTCCAACCGTCCATCCGTCAATCCATCCATCCATCCATCCCTCCCTCCGTCCATCCATCCATGCATCCCTCCCTCCATCCATCCCTCCATCCATCCATGCATTCATGAACTGTCTAATCAATAGCGAAGTAGGTAAGCACGCATGACTGCTGACGTTAACCAATGACTTGATTCAGTGCTCGGTTAGTTGCAACATATGAAAGAGTCAGAAGGCTAACCACCATCATCATCAACATACATACATACATATATATATATATGATATATATACACAAGTGTATGTATGTCATATACATGCAGATATAGGTATCGGAATAAATAGACATATACATCTAGATATAGACATAGACATTGGCATAGACATTGATATGCAGACAGACAGACAGACAGACAGACAGACAGACAGACAGACAGCCAGCCAGCCAGCCAGCCAGCCAGGCAGGCAGGCAGGCAGGCAGGCAGGCACACAAGACAGGCAGACAGACAGACAGATAGATCGATGGATAGATCCATCGATAGATGGATGAATGGATAGATAGCTAGATAGATAAATAGATAGATCGATAGACAGACAGATAGATAGATAGACAGATAGACAGATGGCCCTCTCTCTCCCGGCTCCTGGAGCTTCCGAAGCTCCTCCTCAGCTTTGAGCCTCTCGGCCTGGGGCCCAGGCAGCAGTGGCTTTTGGCTTGGGCTCTGAGGGGTTTCGTGGCTTTTTGCCTGAGGCTTTTAAGGATTTTTAGGGCTCTGCGAGGTTTCGACAGCTTCTGAACGGTTCAAGAGGGGTTTGAGGCTGGTGACGAGTGTTGGGGTTTAGGGCAAACGGATCTTCATTTAAGGCTTTAAGGCAAAGCGGGACACGCTGCCACCTCCCCAACATCGAGTTGGAGGTTTTAGGGTCTAAAGTTAAGGGTTTAGGCCCCGAATCTCTGTAGAATCGACACCCCGTGCCTTCGCGGTGCTGATGAGGCTCTCCCGCTGCCTCTGATGTTGGGCTTTGTGGAACTTGTGGAAACGACTCGCAAGGCTTCTACACTAGAGTTCTGTCTGAAAGGCTCCTAGCAAGCCCCGCCAATTCTTCCTCCAACCCTCTGATACGGGGAAGCCTTGATACTTCGGGGTATGTACTAACATCATCATACAGTGACTCGGCACTCTTTTGCATCCTCTGGAGTCTGCACACGTCGCAGCCGGGATTTGCTTCGGCTGGAGAAGAAAAGAGCTCTGAGTCCCGGGAGGGTGGGCGGGTCACTTGAACCCAATCAGATGCACGGCATACCTCGTCACTAAAGTCAGTGACTCGGCACTCTTTTGCATCCTCTGGAGTCTGCACACGTCGCAGCCGGGATTTGCTTCGGCTGGAGAAGAAAAGAGCTCTGAGTCCCATCTCTCCCGAAATTTCCGGACGTGTGTAGATTCTCCTCGGGCCACAGGCGGTACCAAATGTTCCGCTCGATGCCTTGGCGTGTCCATAGACAGGCCTGCTGAAGGATACCCTTGAAACCAGAAGCAACCTGGGCCACCTTCTGTTTTTGCTCTCGTGGCAGCGAGGGCAAGTAGATAGCCGCAGAAACTTCCTGGAGGTATATCTCCATTATCTTTGCCGATGCCCAACGTCCTCGTCGCCGGACCAACTCAGAGTCCTCCGTCTGCTGGAGCAGGAAAATCGCTCCGCCAGCTCTGAAAGATCCTAAGTCGATGGGCCTGGCACCTTTAGGTCCTGGGGCAGCTCCGACTCTGCGCAGGACTTGATCCAGACGCTTCCTGAGCGTCTGAGGGGACATGGGCCAGAGCTTCTGGTCCTTCCTCAGTCCACCAAAAGCCATGCCGATGACTTGCACCAGGTCTTGGGCCTCAATCTTTGCCGCCTGATGACGTGGTCCCCGATTCCTCGTCTTTGGCTCTCTTATGCTGACGAGGACAAAATGCTGAGAGAAAAGCATGTCCTCGGGCAGCACAAGGGAGCCCCTGGTGGCTTGTAGAACCTCTCCGATCCTCATCAAACCTCCAAAAGCCAGCGAAAAGCAGCCCGCCTCGGCCACCCATGCCCAAGAAAGACAGGCAGCTAGAACAGCTACTAATACTACTGCCGGTATGGCTGTATGGTGCGTCGATGGTTCCTCGGCGAGCCAAGCGAAACACAGGTCCCAAGCTGCCTGCACTTGTCGACGGAGGACTGGCCTCATTGCTGTTACAGCGTTGACCGTCTCTGCGTAGTGCCAGTAAGGGCGTCCTGACCCGTACAGATCCTTGCCATAACAGACCAGCCAGTCAGCGATCATCTCGGCGTCGAGGGGCTTTGTCTCGATCAGGGCAGCGAGGTCAAAACCACCGACCTCGACTAACCATCGCGAAAAAGCTGCGGCTAGGTCAGCCCTGTTTGACCCTGTACGAGGGAGGATAACCCTTCCACCCTGAAGCCCTGCCGGGGACCTCTTTGCGGCGCGGTCGATGTCGGCCTGTTTCGAGGGGCGAGAACAGCCCTAGTAAGACCGAGAAGCCCAAGGAGTAAAATCCAGAAGAGGAGGAAGGCGAGGGACGGACCCTCTCCTGGGAAGCCAAGGGTGGAGTCGAATTCGATGTTCAGGCCGCCGGGCTTTGCAGAGGGGAAAGAGCTGTGAGGCCCTGGGAAGCGAAAACCAAGCTTCCTTGCCTTTTGCCTTTCAGGGCTAGGAACGCCCTGGGAATCTCTAACAGAGTAGACAACAGCAATCTTTCGCGACCCTGACCAAGGCATGGTGCAGTGGAGGCGGTGGCCGTGGAGCCAAGCGGGGCCTTGTGCAACGTGGAGCAGCTCACCCCTCCTCTCGGCCCCCCCGACATAGAGGACGTGGTCTTCTGCGCCGCCCTCGACCCACACCTGTCCTTGAGAGAAGTGGCCGACGGGGAAGATAAGGCTTGGCCACCCGCGGTGGTTGTTTAGATCCTTATGGGGGGCGCGACCTAACCTCCTTTAGAAGTGCGACGGAAGTGAAGGGGAGGTCTGGACAGACACCCTTGACTACCTCACAGACGAGGGTAGTGGAGAGCGGGAAGCGGTAGCAGGCCTTCCGGAGGCCAGCAAAACCGCCATGCACGTATGCGCCGGTGGTCCAAAACACAGCGTTCTGCTCGCTCTTGAAGCGGTCGGTCCCCTGGCTCAATCAGAGTGCCAAGATGCACTGGGCGGGCACGGCCGGTTTCGAGGATGGATGCAGCGAAAGCCTCGGCAGGGTGCAGCGCGGCCGTGCCTGGCAAGTAAAGGCTAGGAGGAGGGCTTGCGCCGCACTGCCTGGTGGGGAAGTCGTGGAGGGCCTGGATCATGGCACTGTGGCTCCCATCGAGGGAGGCTAGCAGAAGGGACATCCTTATCCACCTGGCCCTAGCCTTGCTGGCCCCAGAGAGTGCACACAACGAGGCGATGGCACTCTCGTCTAAGCCCACCAGGGCCGACCTCATGAGGTGCGCGGAGTTCGGCTCCCCTGGTGGGATCGTCGGAGACATTCAATCTGGTCGGGCCGTACATGTAGGCGGGGAACAGCCACGCAGATGGAGGCTGCCCTCCTGAGGCCGGGTCTCAGCAACTTTGCCGATGACCTCCCTTTGGAAAGTGCTCCGCGAGCACACGATGAGTCCAGGATATGGACCGATCGGCAGTCCCTCCCCTCTCTGGCCAACTGCCGCAGGTTCGTGACGGCAGATTCGGTCTCGAGGGCGTTAATGTGTCGCTGTCTGTCCCAGCGCCAGGACATGTCGGTGCTCCAGGGGGAACACAGCAGGACCTCGTTTACTGCCACGTTCTCAAGGCCTGCGGGCAAACCCACTTCAGAAGGGCCCCCTTTAGTGGCGGATGTCCCAATGAGCCTGGCTAAGCCTTGGGAAGCGAGGCCTGGGACCTGTCGGGACACAAAGAACTCGCTAGGGACATGGCCAGGCAGGTGAAAGACCCCTGGATAAGCAGCAGGCTCTCCCTTCTCAAGCGGGGGGAGGAGGTGGCATCCACGTACCTTGAGAAGGCCCCTTGCGGCACAAGTGGAGAGGACCTCACCTGACCTGGGAAAGAGAAGGGCCGCGGGCCGCATTGCTCTCACGGCAACCTTGAAGACGGAGAGGCAGCAGCCTAAGAGCCTATGCCTAGCTGGGCCCTTTGCGTGGGAGTCTCCTATCCCAGACCTGCGGAGGGAGGCAGAGGCAGGGAGAACAATAACCAAGGAGCGGGCCTTTCCTGCCCACAGCAGATACAATATCCACTCCTTGACATGGGAGCTGCCGATGTCGTACTCTGGGGAGGTGCTGAGATCAATGACAGGGGAGGGCCTGAAGCCCAAGACTCCGAAGGCTCTTGCAAGGCTGGCCGAACCGGAGAGCAGGCAGAGGGCGTCGAAATCAAAGGCCAGAGGCCGGCTCAGCGACGCGGGTTCCTCATTGGGAGCATCCCTATCATCATCTTCTTCTTCTTTCTTTGCTGTAGCAGAGGAGCGGTCAAGAGTGGTGTAACAACCCTTCTTGTCTGCGGACAGCCAGAGCGAAGCTGCCACTTCAACTGAGGCTGCAGTAGAGCAGAAAGCTCCCTTCTGCATCGAGGCGTCTGAGCAGAAAATCCGGTCACAAAAAGTCGCCGCTACGTTGGAAACCATAACGGGGGCGAGGCAGGCCAGAAGGACGAGCTCCTGGGCAAGCTTCCTAGGGAAAAATCTCAGATGGCTGCCGTTTGCTTGGGAGGCTTCAGACTTCCCCAGACTAAAGAAACCATCGAGGATGGAGAAAAGGGTTCTCCTGTACATGACAACTGAGATCCATGATCCAGCGAGATTCGAAGCCAGCTCCTCAGTGATGACGGGGAGCGCAGCGGCCTTCAGGCTCAAGAAGGACAGGGCGAGGAGCTTTGGAGTTGGGGCAGAGACGTACACTCGCCCTTCAGAGGCTGGGCCTGCTGTAGAGTCAACCTGGGCACCAGCGGCGAGGAAGAGGTCGGAGCCGTCTATGTCCTTGTGGGGGCTGCCGGCAACACCTGCCTGTGAGTAGCACGCCTTCGCCTGCCTGACCTTTGCTGCAGCGGTGGACTGTGGAGCTTTTCCGAAGAAAGGGAGAAAAAGTCGTCTATTATCAGCCCCTCCCATGGGCCGCCGCGACTCGGAGCGTGCTTTGCAAGGAGCTGGGTCTCCCGCGTGAGGAGCCCTGAGGCCTGCAGTAGTGCAGTGTGAGCCTGCGTCGCAAACTCGACGCCGGCGTGGTCGCCCTGATATAAAGACCTGAAGGCGCCTCTGACCTCTGCCCCAGCAGGAGGGACTTCGGCACATTTGCGGACACAAGGCAGGCCTCTCCAAGCGGGGGGGGCCGGCTCGATACGGCTCCCTTCTTGTCGACAAGGGACGCGAGAGCGCGGGCTCTGGCCAGAGTGGCGGTCCCTTCAAGGTCGCCGAGCCTCACGCTGGGGCCAATGCAGTTCCCCTCTGCCTTCGAAGCGGTGATCCTCGCCTGGTGGTAGAAGTCGGCCCGGTCTGTGCTTGCACCTATAAGGCGGTGGCCCGGGGGCACTGAAAGCTGACACAGAATATGGCCTGGCGGTAGGAACCTAGACGGCCCCTCGAGCCTCCCCTCCAGGGAGTTCGCGCCTCGTCGTTCGCCGATCTGCCTATCGGCCGTCTCAGACTTGTAAGACCCGAAGACCCTCGTAACCTCACGCTGCTCCTTCTTCTGGAAAGAGATGAAGAGCAGCCCTTTCGAGTCCCAAAGTCGCATGAGGCGGAGGGAGCGGTCGCGGGGCTCAGCGTCGCCGTCCGGACCCGGGAGCAGGTTTGGAGGGATAGATCGGAGCACGTGGGGCTCACGATACGCCAGCCTAAGCTCTGGGGAGAGGAAGGCTTCAAGGTTCCAGGATCCAGTCCCGGAGATCTTCAGTCGATCTGGGTCAGCATCTCGGTATGGGCGGAGGGCCTCTGGGCCGTCGGCGTCGTGAGGCACAAAAACTCGAGCGCTGATTCCCCTAGGGTAAGGGAAAGTGGAGAGGCCATTGAGCTCACGCAGCCTGGCAATGAG